GTGTATATCTTTGTATGTATATGTATATATGTGTGTGTTTCCTAATTTTCGGTCTGGTAGGTTAGGGATTGGGAGATCAGTTTTCACGATCGGAAGAACAGCCATCTTACCTTGATCCGTGGCCATTTTGGCGATCAGCCGATCGGCCCGGATTTTCGATCCCGCCCACTCCACCCTATTTGATGATAGAGACTCCTCACGTGCAGCTGAAAGCTGTCGCTTTCTGTACTAGTAGTCATGTAGAGCTGTGCCGACCGTGTGTGGATTTCGGTCGAAGAAGACGGGCTGCTTTTGCGACGGGCCGCCCGCTCGGGCGAACTGCCTGGCGGCTGATCATGTGCTCAGTGTCAATCGACCCCGCTGTTTACGGCCTGCGATCGTCGTATGGAGCTGTGCCACTTCTGTCGGGGAGTCCTTCGGTCACTCCCCCAGCCCATCGGCAGAGGACGTTGCTCTGCCTCAGACAACCTGAGCTAATTGGGCTCTTAAAGGCATCCATATGCTCAAAGGTGGTCCCTTTGAGCGGCGCCAGGTCTTTCAGTCTACCGGTGCCCTTCGGCCCAAGCCGAAGGCCACACCGGTCGCTGACCCACGACCTGCTCAAAAAAACGATCTTCCTTCGACGGCTGTTCGAGCAGATCCCGCTCCTTCAAGCAATCCGCGGCCTAAGCCCAAAGCTTTCGCTGCCTTGCGGCGCGATGCTGCTCTTGAAGAGCCGATCGAAGTTGTTTCGGATTCCACACCGGGTCCGATTGACAACTTTTAGTTTCTCGCGGTGCTCTAGTTTCCGCTGGCGGATATCTCGTCTGATGTTTTTCGTTCGGATGTCTATGTGGTGCGATCGCCAGATGCTGGTGCACCCCTCCGGTGATCGGAGCATCCGTTCGGACTGATGAAGATCTGAGATGTTCGAGTTTTGATCTGTGGCCGCCAGCCACGTTGCGGTCGCGCAATAAAGGTATGTGTGCGATCGTTGGCTGTTCAGCGAGTGTCGAGCGGTGTAGACCGTGTAAACTGGTATGTAAAGGTATGTATATATGTAGTAGTTTATACATGTATACATATGTATGCATATGCACATGTATTTGTGTTTGTATAGATGTTGGTGTTTGTATGTGTGTACATCTATATATACACATATTTATATATGTATATACACATCTACTATACACCTATATTGGACATAGGTCTATACCTGGTATATACCTACATGCATGTTGTATGTGCATGCGCATGATAATGCGCATGTCTATGCGAGTGTGAACACGCGCTTTGGGGTTTCATTTTTCACTCGCTGTTTTGTGTCTGCTAATTGCATAAAGAAATACACTTCATAGAAGAAACAACTATGCAAACTATCAGTGATTGGATGATATGAAGAATTCAATGCTAGCAGCAGGGAGCTGAAAGTTATCAGCCGATTTGACTGAACTGGCGCTGCTCAATCTCGTCTTGATGCTTGCATTCACAACGGGACAAAACTTCACCTTTTCTATCAAAGGAACCGCTATAATCGAAAGAAAGAGAGCGGCCAGGAACACTTGGTGGGTGTACATTGGTTCACGCGGTTGCATGTTTTCCAAAGTTGTGTCGGTTAGATGGTTTGATGGCCATAGCGGGACGACGGGTCATATTGTGATAGCGGGTCTTAGCTATGTGGGCACAATGGGCCAACGACGGCTTACTATACTTGCGCGGATTGTCTTCCGTGATCTGTGCAACTCTTGCAAGTACACGGTATCAGGTTTTTCAAGCTTGCTTGACATCGAACGCGCTTTCGGGTGTGATCGTTGAGTCGATTCAATGCACTGCGGACAATTCGTGCATCCTGCATACATCTCTGTCTCTCGCCGATGACCCGTGCCTGTGCAGGAAGACAGCCAAGCCTGAGACACAAGCCGCACTTCAGGGTGCAAGCCCGATCGGAGCCTCAGGTGTTACGTATTTCATTGGGAAGGATTTCTTCAATTTCAGTTGCTCTTCCTTCGGTTGGGTGCAGTCAGTTGCGAAAGCTCAAGCTTACGTCGTGTTTACTCGGCTTCAGGCAATTGTAGCCATCGGCAGGCTTTGTTTGATTATTGTTGTCGTCTCGTGAATGAGGCAACATCATTCGAGTAAAAGATACGTCACCGTTTTAACGAACTGCCCGAAAGCATTGGGTTTTACCGACATACAACGCCATCGAGAGGTTCGAGGGTCTGCTATCATTACGAACAGATGCGAGTGACCCCATGCTGCATCATAGTTCTAGCTACAGTTAGCTACCCCTCGAGGACATCTTCCCCGAGTTCACTCCAGGGTCTTCTGGGACTGTTCACTTTGGCTTGCCTTGTCAGGGTCAGCCACCTGATCAGTGTCTGTGTGTGGGTTTACCCAGCATAGCGAATTTTGTTTTATTGTTCCATACCATGATCTTGGATCACGACATCATGCGACATCATACGATTTCACACCAGTGGTATATTCTGCAGCACAACTACATGTCTGTATACAAATAAATCAATAGATACGTAAGCATGTGTATATATATATATATACATGTATATGTTGATCTCTCTGTCTGTCTCTCTCTCTCTCTCCCCTGATATGTATGCACATATATATGTATATAGGTATAGAAATATTCTCATACCCATTTCCAGATGCATGGACGCCCAATCAAAAGGGTCGGAGTCAAACTCGAAACCCCAAAAGGAACGAGGACCGGCAAACTCTGAGCTTGAAGTAGCTAACCGTCCAGCCGTGTATACTAAGCCTTGGACCTCACAGACTCAAACATGCAGGTGATGTTGCCAGGGAAGGCAGTACAATAGCTGAAAACTGGCCGCGTTTGCACATGGCAGAAATCGCTTCCTACCCTCAGCTCTACTATTTATTCGGATAGTTGTGTTCTGATAGTTCTGCGATCGTTTTATTTTTATGTAGATGGCTGTGAGTCTCGTGGTCTTATAGTATATTGTAGGTATTTTTTTATGATCAGGACAGGTGGCGAACCTGAGCATCAGCATTAGCGCGGAGTCTCCGAACGGAAACATCCATGTGCCTTGATCCGCAAAGAAGCCAGTGCCGTGTTTGAATTGCAGAGGCGGAACGAGTTTTTCACCAGGCGCTTGTGTAAATGATGAGACACTTCAAGTTGTCACCCCAAGCGGGGACGATCTCAGGACTTCAACGGCAACATGACCGTGCAGGGGAAAGCAGCATCTCGTGTCGCATGTTGTGTCTCTTAAACCTTAACGTGGAGCGTCGCAAGCACAGGAGTTGTTTCCACCTTGCAAATTCCTCAGCCCTTAGGCTTTGTTTCTCTAGTCCTCCGGGCTCAGGTTTCACTTGGCCCGCAGCAGCTGCTGATGCGCGGGACAGTGCTGAGGCTCTTCGGAACACCAGCCGAGGGCCCCTTAAGAAAGGAGTTCCGCCCAAGCGGAGAATATCAACAGCGAGCAAGTCCGCAGCCCGTGCATCTTGTGTGTTCCCTTTGCCATCTTTCCTGTGCAGGAACACGAACTTCTGCCTGGGTGACCTGTCCTATCGTGTGATTGGTTCATCGCGTCATGTGCTCATGGTGAACTTGTTCCTCTCTCCAGTTCAGCACCTGAAAGACCAAGAGGCATTCATGGATGCTGCTCAGGGATGTCATTTGTTGATGTTTGTGGGCTGCCTGAGGGTTCAGTTTCCAGAGTAAGTGGTGGAGTCACATGAGAGAACGGGCTCAGTTCCTGCTTTGCCGATGCTGGTACGAATCACGATGGTAACAACGATGCCCTTAAACTTTGATATTCGCACACCTCTACGTAGTCCTGATCGCCTAAGGTGTGGTTATCTACACCGGCCCGGACACGAGGACGACCCCTTCTGCATGCAGATCGCACAGTTGTGCTTGAGCTAATTCTGGAAAAGCAGCACACCTGCCAGTGCCCAAGGAATTCTTGACTGCAACCACATGACTGCCTTTTCAGCAGCATCAGCTAGCGATGCCTCGGAGTTTCAGCGTCGGAGCAGGATGGTCCGCAATTCGCGGCCGCCTCCGATGAAGCAGTCGAACCTCGAGGCCGGGTCAGCTTTCGCAAGTTGGACGTTTCAGGATGCAGGGCTGCAGCACACGATCTTGATCAATGTTTACTTTGCTTCAAGAGGCTGCATTCCACATGCAGACTGTAGCTTGTGACCGGTGCATCACATTTTGTCTACTGACGATACAAATTAGAAATAGCAGCTACGTGGTAAACTGATCATGATTCCCCGCATTCCTGGAAACTTAGAAGTGTGCCTGTTATAAGGATTAGGATTTCACGGCGAATGACCCAAACCCGAAGCTTTACTCCCAGAGAAAGGATACTTTGATGTTTGGTATGCTCTTGATGAGTTAGAGCCTCTGACTGTCCGTTACAATTTGGCTTGAGTAGCTAAACCTAGTCCAACCAGAAGCCCCAGCATCTGAGCTACTTCCACACAAACTCACGCGCTGGATGTCTAACCTCAGCAAAGCCTCCGATCTCGTGAACCCCTGAAACCTAGAATCGAACCCCGCGGTCACGCCTTGTGATCCAAAAGACTTTGGTCTTTTCAGTGATCACAGGCGAGGCCGGGCTGCCGAGGAAATGATTGTCGTTGTCACTGTCTTTGATGAGCTTCAAGGATTTTTGTCGGTGTTGGGACCATTGGGTTCGCATCCGATGGATGCACAGCCCATCGCAACATGCTGCCCCCAGTACACATCCCGGTCACATCCCCGTTGCACCCGAAATCATGCTGAGTCTTTGATCTGCTCTCAGGTAACGACGAACCAGTCCATGAAGTGCATTCTGCATCTCGGACCTACTTTCTGCAACCAGTGGTGTGAGAGTGGATGCCCTTTTCTGTCTCGTCTCGTTTACCGCCAGCTCGTCTGGGATATCTTGTCCGAGCTTGGCCATGTTGTCAACAAAAGTACTCGGCAAGCAGTGAGAAACTCTGGAATATTGTCACCTGAAGATAGGAGCCCGGGTAATGAAGACTGTCATTCTGTGACTGTCCGCTTGGAGTCACAGCCGGTTAAACAGCAGACTCCTATGGCATATACGTTGTCCGGCTCCTCATGGCTTGCAGGCAGAGAGTGAAGGAACGGAGTTGTCTTGTCAACATCCGAGGCTCATTCAGGCGGTCATTGCGGCGACCAGCTCTATCTGCCATGTGCTATACAAGCCGAAGCACCACTGGTATCTGGAAGAGGAGCACACCACCCTGAGCCTTGCTGCAAAAGATTCTTCCTAAGAGCTTCGTGCCTTGCCTTGTTCGAAAAGGCAGGCCCCTTGCTGCATTGGGTCGTCATCTGCGGGCCCCGACCGGTTCTGCCGACTGAGGCCTGAAGTAGTGGCTTGGTGGCTAACCTTCTTCACGTGACTTGGAGCAATGGGCCTTGGGGTGCTCCCTGAAGTTGCCGTGTTCCTGGGGCCGCTGAACCGAAACCCGTGCAGCCTTCGGGACCGAAGTCCTTTTTGCTCCTAAACTGTTGGACCCTGGAACTTGGCTCTGTGTAGGCTTCCGCAGAATGTAGTATCGCCAAAAGTCCCGTCCGCCAATAGTCATTGGGACAGGTGCTTCCCCTCCGCTGTCGGGCCTTTGAGGTTGTACTCCAACTTGATGCCCATCTCCCTGTATCCGACGGTGGAGTTCTGCAATGTCTTTCAGTCTTTTGGCTAGAATGTGCGGTGCACGTGGCGCCAGACAGGACTCGAGAGTCGAGGGCTGGGGTGATACGGTATTTTCAGTTCCTTGACGACAGCAAACAGCACAATAACAGGATGCCGTATTGTGAAATTAGACGTGATCTGGGAGAGCAACTCACAGCAAACACGATTGATACGTAGTATATAGTGACAACACTCAGGAGGTAAGGAGCAGCAGCAGCCGCAAGTGAACAGAGGACGAGAATGCCTATAGCAGAACAACAGAAATGCCATGCTACGACTACGGCGACGACGACGGCCGCTGCGGGTGTGGCTGCTGCCACTACTGTCGCGATGGCGACTACGGCGACTGCTGCGACGACGAATACTTCTAATGCGAATCATTTACATAGCATGTGGTGACGGACATCGATATCGCACTTTGGCACGCGTACGTCCCATGCACAGCTGCTTGCACTGGCGCATGCATGCACACATGCATACACACCACATGCATCATGCACACATCCACGCATCATGCTTACACACGCACACATGAAAGCAAGAACATGATCGTAGCCAGTACTAAGTAATGCAATGCGATAGATGTGAGCCATAACGAGACATGAATACGTATTGCCATCAACAACATTCAGGCATATCTTGATTAAACGATCCACTATGTAGCCTGGAAGCAGTGTCCTTCATAGGGAACAGCAAACACTAGCCCTTTGCCGTACTTGTAGCCGTGGTTATGCCATCAGCACGTGTATGCACTTGCACATCATTATGTACATGTCTGCTTACTTACACAGCATGTATATACTACTGCGGTAGGACGAAAGTTCGTCGCACTCTGGCATGTTGCTCTTGAACACCAAGCAAACCCCTTTCCCCTTCAGACTCCTCCACCCAATCCTCCGATGGGAGCATTGTGGTAGTATATTTTCATTCTGGTGGAGGGTGCTCCGAGTCCTCTGCATGATGGTACAGGCAAGCGCGACCAACTTGATTCGTGGCGGTGCTAAGCTGCTATGTTCGAAATGTACATATATATATATATATGTCAATACATGTATGCATATAAACACACACACACACCCACACATACATACACTTGCATACATACACATGCACATGCAGGCATACCTACACATTTACGCAAAAAACAGGTTTACAGATACGCATACATACATATCGTACCAGCATCATACCTGAGAACACGTCTGACAGCACAAGTTTTCGAGCGGCCTGAGGTTCTTCTATAGATATTGCCAAGGCTTCGCCCCACGAGAACCCTCCCTGGGGACAGCTGAAGAAGGCATTAAATTGCAATTGCCACAGGAACAAGATGCAAGTATCAAGTCGCAGCAGTTTCGTGGAGTTACAGGTGCCGAGCGATCCAGCAGGATAAGAGGATGCTTCTTGCCGGCAAATCATCGTGACTGGGCCGTTTGGGGATGTTTGGGGCTTTGCTCAGCCATGGTCTGGGCACGTGTTCACTGACATGGCATGGGTGTGTATTGTTTTGACGTTGCGACGGAATCAGAAGGCTCAGAGTAGAGTTTGCACGTGGAGGTCCATTAATTTCGCCAGGGTATTGCGAGCAGACCCTGTAACCTCAAGGCCAAGGCTGCAATCCAAGTTGTAACGCTGAGACCCTCGATTTCCACAAACTCGCAAAAAGCAGAGCCCCCTCAGTCCCTAAGTCCCCCAGCCCTGCAGATGAGTGGCTGGAGGTGAAACAGCAAGTTGAGCAGTTTACGTGTCTGCATGAAGGTGCTACAAAGCACCGGGCTTCAATGAGGGCAAGCCCTTCGCAGCTGTTACTCGGAGTTCGAATCTGTGCCAAGAGCTGGGACAGGCCCGGATCCACGCACGGCTGTGTGCCAGGGAGAGGTAGATAGATAGGCGGGGCAGGCAGACGAACTAGGTCTTGCGTGTGTGTGTGTGTGTGTGGGAAACTCTGTTACCAAGAGACGATTTGCTGTCAGCGACCGATTCTTGCATTCGTCCTCTCGACTTTTCAGGTGTAGTTTGTCATTATATGCAGGGGAGTGTGAAACTTGCATCCTAGCACACTCAACGAAGCTGTGGATGCAAGTGGGGAGCAAGACCTGATCAGTCTTGTGTACCTGCTCTCGGATAAGGCCCCCTGCGGCACTGGAGTAACCAACTCTAGAGTGCAGCCTGTCAGTCTAGTTCTGCCTGCTGGCAAGTCGATTTTGAAGTAGACACTGATGTTCTTTTCCGCATGTTTTTCACTGCCGTGGTGGCTAGAGACCTTACCTCTAAAAGTAGAGAACAAATGGAAGACGATGTCAGTTGGAGGGAGGATTGCACGAGTGTGTGTGTGTGTGTGTGTGTCTTTCTGTGCGGTTGTGCAGCCTGCTCAACTCCCACCTGCAAAACCGCGCGTGGCCTCACCTCCTGGCCCCCTTTGGTCCTTTTCGGCTTGGGAGGTCGGATACATCTTCTCGGACAAGACAGGCTCACTGCGGGGTTATCTTAGAGGGCAGGAGAGCTGGGATCAAGGTCGCAGGTCTGAGTGAGCGACAATGAGGGTACGTTAGTTCCAGATGACCTGCCTCGCCCAGGAACCTTGACGCAAAACGACATGGCTTTGAGGCCTGCCTTTGATCTGCCGATTGCGATTTCACTCTGCGCGCATGGAAGCTGCACATGTGGCTACGGCGACAAAAGAGGCAAACTCGAACAATCGAGGCACTGCAATTAAGCTGAAGCTAGTGGGGACGCCTACGAGGCGTGTCTCCATCGGCGGGCAGAAGTTTGGGACATTCCAGAGCAGCCCGCAGGCGCATGTGGTTAGAATGCTGATGGTTTCTGGGGTTTCTGGGTGTGGGCGTTCGCGCTATGCTTGCCTTCGAGATGTCAGTAGAAGCCACTCAATGAAAGTTGCAAGTCAGAGATCTGCACAGTTCGGTGTCGTCGGCGTAGTTCTATCTCGACTGGTGCTGCGGCCTCACGAATAGCGATCACGTCATGTTTGGTAATTTCTTCTCCTGCTGCTGTCTTGTTGCTGCTGCGCTGCTGCTGCTGCTGCTGCTGCTGCTGCTGCCGCTGCTGCCGCTGCTGCTGCTGACGATGCCGAGACCGATGGCGTTGACCGATGATGATAATGATGATGGTGATGCTGATGCTGATGCTGATGAAGAAGAAGAAGAAGATGATGATTATGTTACAAATCAGGATGATACTGATGGCAGCGATGGAGACGAGAGCAATCACGAGATGTGGAGCTTTGAACCGGCTTAGGATGCACGGAGAGTGAGTGATCCGGATCCCCTCAGGCCGAAAAGTCGGATGACGCGACATGGGTACCTTGGTTCTAACAGTCTGGAAAGGAGGAGGTTTCATGGTTCTTCTATTCTTAAACATGGCCATTCGATTGAAGTATGTATCTCTTTTGACCCGAGAAACAAAATGACCCCACACACTTCGGCATGCATGATTTGGCTGCGGCTGTACCGCCCCAGCTACGGTTGCAACAGACATCCACGCATACGGGAGGGGAAAACTATCCGGCTCAAGGCAACGTGGGGCATTGCTAGCCTTTCGGTTTCTGTAGCGTGAGACGGTTCCTTCCGGTCAGTCCTCCCATGCAACGCGACGTAGCGCCCGTTCTGTGTCTCAGGACGGCTTCGACGGCGGCCGCGAGCTCCAGGCAATGGGGGGAGATGGGCGATGTTCGCTCTACCGTTAATGCTTCCCTCCTGTATCCTGCAGCGGCGTCAGCATGTAGCAGCTAGCAATGGCAGGATCCAGGGCCCCTTCAGCAGAGCCCCAGGAAAAGTTGTATTGAGGCTGTAGACCCATTGCTAGAAGACAGTCTGACTGGTGATCTTCCCGACGATTCTTCAGGAGACCTATGCCTCGAGGATTTAGAACTGATTAGGTATTTTTGATGTTGTCTGATGTTTCGGATGGCTGTAGAAGAGAGTACTTGTTTTCCGTACTACAGTATTCGGGATGTTGGTCGCACAGTCGAAGAAGCCCTTCTTCCACGAACCCTTCACCTAGATCTTAGCAGAGTGATGCAGACAAACACTGCACTGAAGGCCAGGCAAGTCCAATGCTGCATAGCATAACAAGAACTTTATTTATCCTGCTAGTGATCGTTGATATCACCAGTTGTTGCAGATGCATGCGCTTGTGAAAGGCAGCGAGAGGAATGGCTATGAAGGCGCGAGAGATCGACGCTTTCTTGGAAGTGCTCGCAGCTGCCTCCTGAGCATGAGGGGGATGGTGTGACCACGCAGATCTAAAGGGTTTGGAATACATCCCAGGTGGCCTGTACCGTGCTCATACCAATGAGGTGTGTCTTCGGACCATGTTGTGCCAGTATGCTTGCATAGAGGGTGGGGCAGTGATGGTGGTGGCGGCGTTCGTTGTGGCAGTGGCCACGCGGTGGTGCGAACTCGGTGTCGTGCAGCGGCTGTTGGTTTCTCGCCCTTTTCTGCACTGACTCAGGTCTCGCACACGGTGATGGTCACTAGCGGTGAGGACCTTGGTCAGTGTTCCCGGCCAAGAACGTGGATGATGGAGTGCTTGGGGAAAACTATTGCTGAGCAGGTTCAGGGAGGGCTAGCCGGACGGGTCATTAACTCTAAGAGTTCTTAGAATGTCTGCACCACATGCACTGACGCTTGTTCGTTTGCAGGACGGTAAGCTGCAACTTGGCCTCTGTAGAGTTGGCTTCGGGATTTGGGAGTCCCGTGCGGCATCTTCACAGGGGAGGCAGGCATGACGAGGGTTGCTTCGAGGCAAGTCGAGTTGTGGTTGTTTCTTCGGGCCGTTGACTCGCCTTGCATTGTCATCGGTTTCTGCAGCATATGTCCTCCTGATACCGGTCTTTGCGCATGGTTCTTCCGTGCTATTCTGGTCAGTCTTGATCGCTCACGGTCACCGGGACCTTTGGTTTGGAAGGCATAAATTGGGGGATGGTTCGGTTTGAGGAGAGATGATCGATTTCGAGCAACCCGCGTTCCTATCATAGCCTGGCCCCCACGATTCTCCCTAGTCCCAGGAACTACGAAGCCGAAAGTCCCGACGAGTTCGCACTAGTGAAGGCGTCCTTTGCGCTCGGACCGGGAAATCGCTGAAGGATTCAATAGAAATGACCGCAATATATACATATGCGTGTATATACCTATATGCATGTACGTACGCATGCATGTACGTCTGTACGTCTGTATGTATGTATGTATGTATGTATGTATGTATGTATGTATGTGTGTGTGTATGTATGTGTATATGTGTATGTACATACATATGTACGTCCATACGTACATACATCACGTACATGCATTACATGCACACAAGCGCGCAGGAGGGGTTGATACTTACATACATGCATGCATACAGACATACTTACATACTTACATACACACATATGTACATCCATGCATGCATACGTACATATGCATTAGTTCTATGTGTGTGTCCACTATACTAAGTTTGATCCTGGATCAGATGTTGTCACTTCTCTTCCATGAGGTTTAAGGCTTGAGAGTTCAGCCCGATGGTGAGTGCTCTCAGTCATGATTGACGTTTGCCAAGACCCTGCGGTATCAACCCGGCACAGGTAGATAGCTGTTTTAACTTTGCCATTTCCTCACTAGACAAATCAACTTAGTTACGAAGTTTGAAGGCCGCAGGGCTCAACATCGAAACCTGTAGCCTGGCCTGAGAGACCGGGACGAATCCCCGCACTGTTCGAGGCTGCTGCCAGCCAGGGCTGGGAGTTCAAAGGAAGACGCATGGCTCGCAAGTCACTGCTGTTTCCATCATGTCATGCTCGTCGTGGGTAGTTGAATATCGCCCCACTTTTCGTTTTTGTTACTCTAGCCATGTTGTCTTCTATTGAAAACTCCGTTGTAATAGCATGTTCAGATCTGGGATTTGCGAGACGGAGTCCAGATCTGAGTTTACTCCTGACACTTGGGTAACACGCTGTCGGCCCAGGGTTGTCAGCTGCGGCCTCACGGTCGTTGCAGTGACTGTGTGCAAGATCTTTTTGGTTACGGCTTGTTGTGACATGCAGCCTGTCGTCTTCCAACGTGAGGAGTTTCTTGTCCTGTGGTCTCGCAAATCCTGTTGGACTTAGCAGCCTGGGCAAATCCAAAATCTGCGAGTCTGGGCCGAGGAAGAGGTGCAGAACTCACAGTCAGTTACTACAACAGCTCTGGCTCGGGACCTCGAGCCCCTGGACTGCATTCCCGAGAGGATGCATGTGCCCGCTTCTTGAAAAGCCATGATCGGCGGACTGATCCTAATGTCTCCGGGGTGCAGTTTGTGCTTCTTCGTAGCCCCGAGTCTAAATCAAAGCACTTCCTGAGAGGGTTCAAACCTGCTCAGACAAGGATTTGCAATATCGGGTCTTGGCCACGAATGCCTTCAATTCAGCACGGAAAAGAATGTCCGTGGTGGTACAGAAAGGCGCAGCTGTGGCCCTGATTGGTGTCCGAAAGAGTTTGGGACATCAGGATCTCCCTTGAAAAAAAGATGGCCCCTGGTGCCAGGCAGCGAGCACCTTCTGCTAGTGAAGGGTGCCGACAATGCCCGGCTCCCAGCTGTCAGCAGCGGCTTGAAACTCATGAAAGGATGGTCCTCAGCCGCGAGGTGGAGTCGAGAGCCCGAACGAAAAGATGTCGAGCAGAATCTCCATTTGTCATCAGAAGCCGCCCTAGACGCAGCTGGAAATTCGCGACCCTTCCAACAGGTAAAAACAAGGGGCTAGCGAGGGATCGAATGGACACGCGCAAATGCAGACCCAAGCCCTTCCGATATACTTTGACTCGCCAAGCTTTGGTGTTGGCGACCTTCAATTCGAGCCCTCCTCCCAAAGGGTGCGCTGAACTGGATTCTACTCTGGCGTGCCCTCTTCTGGGATCTGTTCCCGGAACTCTGAAGGGTCGAAAGTGGCGACTTGTCAGGAGACTACTACTCCAGACTTGCGCGTGCAGATGAGTTGCTCTGACACCATGCTACAATATTTGTAAGATGCCCTCTGCAGGTCATGCTGGAGCGGGCTAGCAGTCCACAGCGGCCGCTGGAAGCAGACCTGACCGAGTTCTCGGAACAAGGCACTCGGCACGTGATTTTGAGGTTCATCTCTTCAGTGCTTGCAGTACTTTCGAGGTTTGCTTCGGAGTGTCCAAGCTGTTTCAAGGCCTCAGAACGCTCGTCCTGGGCTCGCGGAGCCTGCAGATGACCGAGGCCGGTCGCTGCCATCACAGCAACTCTCGGGAGCTTGTTATCCAAATTGCAGGAATAGCTCATATGGTCGACAGAAGCATTCTCGAACATACATTGGACAGTGGTTGCTTTTCCGTAGCTGGCATTGAGCGGTGATACTAAACGCTTCGTCTGGAGCTTGCCCAATAATAGTAAATGGTCTCACATGCAGGTCTCCTCGTGGCTTGCACGCTATGAAGAGGTCGGGTCGTACCAGCACGCACGTTTCAAAAACAGGGTTCGACTTAGCCGTGATGGATAAGCTGGCCGTCTGTCCGTGTTCGTTTGATCAGACTCCCCAATCGAACTTCTGCAACGCTCAATCTGAATCCGCGGTTCCTCTGCCGATCCTAAGTGGAAGGCCCAGCGGGCAACGACTGACCGGGACAAGAAGTTGGAGCTTCTCGACTCCATCCTCCCAGTCGGCTCGGGTGTCACTATCAGGGTATGGCATTTTTCCCTGGATGTCTGATCCGTTTTGTGCATGCAGTTTGCCGTGGTTTGCTACGGCTTTGCAGGTGGTGATGGCATGTTGAGTGAACCAAGTGTCATGCCATGGTAGCCAATGATTCAGACTGGAGCGTAGTTGCAAGCAGAAGCATGAACGCGATGAGACGGCCCACATCGTCTTTGAAGAAAGCCTGAAGGCAGTTGAAGGCGAGTTTCAGACACCTAGCATAGTGGGAAAGGGACATGTAATGAATTCTCTCAGAACAAGTCCTTAAATTCTAGTTTTCGAGAGCCCCAAGCCCTAAGCACAACATACGAAGAGAGATCATCGTGCGTCGCACTCTACCGCACCCTGGATGGAAAGCGCTGTGCAGTAAACGGTCGAGCTTCCACAGCACAGGCAAGTGGCCGAAGAAATCGAGAAGAATCTTACCATTCTCGGCGCGACGGCCATTGAAGACAAGCTCCAGGCCGTGCTCCAGCGATATGAATGTGAACAGAGTATAGAGCAGTAGCAGCTATGTCCGGGGTATGATAACATGCTTGACAGCCTAAGGGTGTTTATTTGTTCGTGCTCTGGCCAGGCCGTCTGGTAGTATAACTAACGGGCGAAGTGGCAGAAAGCCGTTCGTGCTGGTTGCAGTCCTCTTTTTTTGGCACGCTCTTGGCTTCCTCTTTGCCTGCCCTCGCCGCCACTGAAGTTGCATTTTGCAATGGCCGCAAATCATGTGGCAGGATGGGGTACCCGAGACCATCGAGAACATCCGCAAAGCGGGGATCAAGCGACCTGGCGCTTAGTTCAGGTGACTCAGATGTGCAAGGTGGAATTTAGAATGCAGGGCGTCATTGTTCACTCCTCTTTTTTTTTGTTTTTCTTTTGCTCCCTTTCCCCCCCCCCCTTTATCCCCTTGGTCGCGCGGTCCCGTGGTCCTGGTCAACTGGTTCATCTGGTCTTCTGTTCTCCCCCCTGTCTTCTGGTTTCCTGGTCTGCTTGTCCCAGTGGCCCAGTGGTCCGCTCAGTTCTTCCTGCTGATCCTCTCATTCTGCGGTTGCCCTGGTCCTCTGGTCCCCTCCCCCTGGCCCCCTGGCCTCCCCAATCCCCCTTCGG